AATAAAAAAAATGAATTCCTCTATTACCAAATATGGTAATAAAATTAATTGCCATTTGTGTGACGAGGATTGTTACACTAGTTTTGATTTTTGACTATTGACTTTTGATTTAGTTTTGACATATAACTTTTAATTTTAATTTTGACTTCCATCTCTTCAAAATAGTTTTGGTGACCAACACTAATCAGCACCATAAAGGAAATAAACCTTATTTATAATTTTACAAATAATATTAATATTAATATAGAATTTATTGCAACAAGCTGTGAATTAATATTTTATAAAACAAATAAAACCAAATAAAAGTGAATAAAAGTGAATAAAATGAATAAAAATGAATCAAATAAATTTAATCATCTACATTCATTTATCAGTCAGAAGTGAAGTTGGATTGGTCAATTATTTGGATGCAAAAAGAATAATTTTATTATTTGTATTTTCAAATTCAAGTATGTTTTAAGGATATATAAAGTAAATTACAAAATCAAGAATAAGTATGTTTTAAGAATTATTAAAATTCAGAGGTATATTTTAAGTGTATAATTAGGATATCTACATTCCCATTACTGTAAAAAACAAGAATGTTTTAATTGTAAAATAAGTATATTCATACATATTTTGCAAATAATTAGTGAATCATCTTTTTTGATTTAAGTATGTTTTGACTTATGTTTTAAGTATGTTTTGTAAAAATTAAGTAGAAAATAAGTAGGAAATGAGTATCTAAACTTTTGTAGGGATTGATTTCCATGATATGTAAAATTACTATTTTACAGTATTAATTACAGCAAAACCTTTTAAGAATCAAATAACTGACATCACATTAAGAAAAAATTGAATTAATCATGTTGCAAATTATTAAAATTGAATGATCAATGCCATTAAGAAAAATGTCAATTGATTAATGATTTCTAAAATATGATTTAGTTATGAACATAACTTACTAAAATGGGGCATACTGCAACAAAACCAGACAAAGTGAACATTGGTATTATTAAGGATTTCAGGGATTGAAATTTAGTCATCACAAATGTAATGTGATTATAATTTAACATTTTATCTTAAGTGATATATAGAATTACTCTTATATAAAATAATTGATCATCCTTTTTTATGAAATCATATTTATTTTCCAGGTCTGTTACTTATTTCTTCAATAGTTTTATCAGTCATTTTAACAGCTTCATATTCACAACCAGGTATTATACATGATCCAAGTTTTTTTTGATTGATTTTAGCAAATAAAAATATTCAAACTTTGATTGATCAACAAATAAAGAACACATTGATTAAAGCAAATACATTTTTTTGAATTAATAAAGGATTTGCTCAAATATTTAAATGCTGAAAATTGTTTAACATTCAATATTCACTTTAAATTATAACCATGATCTATTATTGTTGATTTTTGATATTAAATAATTCAACAAGTTATTGTTATCTTTGTAACATAAGGATTCAATTTCAGCCTTTTTTTTTGATTTTAAAAGTTTTTGTAATTCAATTCTATTATTATAAATTTCAATTAATAATAAAATCAGTCAAAATTCCAATTATAATAATAGAGATAATGAAGAAAAATTTTGCACCTCCAGGATTCTGGTAAATTATTATTCTTTAATAAATCCTTGCATTTTTTTTTATCATTGGTTGTCATTTTAATTAATGTATCATCTGGAATATTGTAACTAAATAGAAAAATTTGTAAAGCCAGTTATTAGTATTAGTAATACTATCAATAATAGTATAATTCAGAAGTTTTATAACAAAAAAGGATTTTTTACTCTTTTCTATCTTTATATTGTAAACCAATCCAATAAAATCGTTGAACTGCCAAATTTTCATTGTCATATGATTTGGCCTGAAATAAAGAAAAAATTTTTTAATTAATGCTATGGTTGATTATTTAAAATTATTATTTTACCTGTGATCCATATTTATAGACATTTAAAATGTCTATTCCTGATAAAAAATAAATAAATTATAATAATTTTTAAAAATAATTAATCAATAATTAATCATAAAAATGTACCTACCATGAGGGTCACTATCAAAAAACCCCAAGATTTTGATTTCAGATCGCAAATCACCAAATAACTTAATTAGTTGCCTAGTTGCAACATCCTTTTTCAATAAAAGAATGGAAGGGAAAAAATAAGTCATTATTTCCTTTTTTAGAAAGGAAAGAAATTTATATATGTGTGTGTAACTTACAGGATAGCCCTTTCCCTATAAAATATTCAAATAAAGATTCTTTAATTAGTTGATTTTTTCATTCATAAATTAATTAATTAATATACAGTGTGGGAAATTATCCAAAACTACTGTATAAAATAATAATAAAAAATATCAAAAGAAACATGAAGACCAGGAGTTTTTATAGATGATAATTCCTTCATATTGTATGATGTTATGCTAATTTACTACTAGAAAACAAGATATATTTTGTCCAAAAAAAATTTATGGTTTTTTGTCCCACACTATATAATAATGTTGATAGTACTTACAGTAATTAAAATACATGAATTTAACTTTTGAAAAATTTTGTTGGATAATAATGTCTGAAAAGTTGCCTAAATAATAAAAAAGTTGATTAATTGGTATTAATATTATTATAATTTAAAAGCTAGTTATTAACCTCTTTTTCTACAACAATAATAATTTTGGCTTTGCTTTAAATGTTAATTAAATGATAATAATAGCATAAAAAACTTTTTAATTTTTCGTTCATGCAATAACAAATAGATTAGTATAAAAGGATATTATATTCCATATTATTATTAAGTTCAATAGGTTGAATCAGAACACCACCAGGATTCATTGAATTTATTGAATCTTCTAAAATGATTTGATTATTTTTGAATAGTTTAAAATCCCCAGAAATCAGCCCTTTTGCAGAAGCAATCTTATTAAAATATTAATTAATTAATTGCTGCAGTTACAGATGTTTTTTGTCATAAATATGATTCATTTGTTATTTTCTCTCACCAAATTTAGGGATCTTCATCAGGAAATTTTTTGACGTAAATTTATGTAATATTATGGGGCCTGCCATAAACTTATGTAAATAGTGTAATATTATGCAAAAATTGCACAAAAATTACGTAATTATTACATTCAGTGTAAATATTACGTCCTTTTTATGCGAAATATTATGACATTTCATATTAAAACTTACAGATGTAATATTATGGCAGGAAAAGTTTCCTGATGTTCTTGTAACCTGAAAAATACAGCATAACTTGTCTATGGCCTTTATTATTAGATTTTATTATGAATCAAAATTTTTCTATCAAAGAAAACAACTATTTAATAATAATAAGTAAATTATTGATTATTTTTACCCAATCAATGCGTTCTGAATTCCCAAACAGGTTTACATCACAGTAGTAAACACTTCTATTAATTAGTATTAGTATGGAAAGAGAAATATATTATTTTTGCTTTTTCTTTCTCCCTTGCATGAATAACAATAACATAAACCCTACTGTTTTGTTGCCACTATGTTTGATATTATCAGCTCCTTACAAATATCAAGTATTCTGGAAAAAACATAGTCTTTTTGTACTTTTTTTTGATAAAAATTCATCAAATTCATTAAATACACCAATCTCATTATCAATTTCTCCAAGTTTTAATAAAATCTTTTTTTTCATTATTATTATCTTTTCCAATGTTAATTCTCTAAAAGATAAATGAATCAAAATTAATAAAAACTTGGTACTATCATTATCAATTTATCAAAAAAATTACCCTGTAATAGATGTAGATATAACATTTGTTATATCGGATGGTGGTAATGATGGTGAATTTTTCAGTCCATTTTGACTAAGGATATCAAGAAATAAGAGATATTGCATAAGTTTTGCATAGAACTAGAATGACAACAAGTGGCAATAACCATCTTCATTCTTTTTTAACAATTGTAATACACCCATAAATAAATAATAACTAGAGTGAAAACAAGTTGCAATGACTGCAACCATCATTCTTTTAATAAAAATGACACTTGTTTCTCTTTTTCTCTTTTTATCCTTACATTCATCTGGCATTTTTTTTTTAAAAAAAAAAAGATATGTTATTTGATCAACGTACACTAAATATAATTATTGGTTGTACAAAGAAGCTCATACCCCTATTGTTATTGTTGTTGATGCGATTGATTTTTTTTTTTTATTTTTTACATGAGAAAGCACGAATGTTGTTGTTTGATATGACTTGTTCTAAAGATGACATTGTTTATTGATGGCGAGAGGTACACTATTTTTTGTTGCATTGTATTTTTTTTTATTTTATAAATATTGGTATATATGTATCTTTATTTTGTATGAATATTATTGCAAAATCAAACTGTGAGAGCAGAACTTGTATTTATGAGATTCTTTATCATAATTAAGGTTTCTGGTCAAAACTGCTTCTATTAGTAGCCGAAATTGCCCAAATACTTTGGGCAAAAATTGTTTTTTTATAAGCCCAAACTACTTTTTGTTATTAGCCAAAATTGGGCAAAATTATTTTAAAGTTGTTTAAGTTAAAACAAGTTGATTCATATAGTTTTTTAATGTTCATGCTTATAGAAAATGTTGAGAAGCCCAAATTGCCCTAACTAGTTTGGGCTTTGAGAAAACAGTTTGGACCAGAAACCTTAATCATAATAAACAATTGGTATTGTTTTTGCTTTTTGTAATCAACATTAATAATAATAATATTAAATATTAAATAATAATAGGATGTCAAGGCACAAATGCTATCTTGTCACTTTACAGTCATTCTCACACATTCCTCATGTATAAAGGCTAGACTTCCAAGATTTCCCTAATGATACAATGATGCAATTAAATTCCAGGGGGGGGGGGGGGGGATGCATGGCTCTGAAATTTATTGAGATTGCATCAATGTAAGGACTCTTTTGTGAATAATACCTCATTTTTTCCTCATATTTCCTGACCAGAGAAGGATGCTGACATGCTGGCCGAAGTTGACTGCAACGATCCTGCCTGAGGGGTAAAGGTGTCTGGCTATGCAACCAAAAAGTTGTGCAACTCTGGATGCTGCAGTAACACCAAAGAGTTGTGATTTTAGGTGTACATCGACATCTAGATTCATCAAAGCAACGAGAAATTGCTGCAACTCAAGCTTGGGCAGGAATTTGCAATTCAGAGTAAGATTGGGTTGGGGATTCTGAAATCGAATTTGTGCTCTGACATTAAGAGGAAAGTCATAAAATAGTTTTTTTTCTAATGATTTTCCTAAATTATCTCCTTCCTTGATGCTAACCAAACTTGTAATTTTAGGAGACACAGGCATTTGCCTCTCCTATAGATTAAAATTATATGGTAATATCTTTGTCAGCCAAATGCCAACACTGATCCCTGGCATCAAAGTGGAATTCTTTGCATTTCTTTCAGAAAGGGTCAACAAGAAAAAGCAATAAAACTGGATGGATTTTGGTATGTTTTGCACAAATTAATCATTTTTCAATATTTCTTTTTCTTGGTAAATTATTAATTTGGTTAACCAAATTTATGCCCTGACAAACTACAACCCAGGTTGCAACTTCTTCAGTTGCAGAATTTCATACCAATTGCAGGCACAACTTTTATTCTAAGGGAAAAACAATCATTGCACAGCATCAACAATTAATGCTGTATGGTAGCAGCCAAGCCTGGTCTGAGGGGAAGATTAGGGATATTTTTTTGTCCACCTTATAAAAGCCTTCCAACATGTTTAAGTCGTTTTCACTTGTGGAGAAAATTCCATAGTGCTGAATTGTGCTTGCATGGTCTTGCATGTTTGTGATAGGAAATTTTTATTAAATCTGACACCTATGATAATCATCAGATTTATTATTCATTTTTAAGGTACTATACAATAGAAAGGAATCTTTCTTTTTGACCTCCAATCTACCTGGTAATAGGTTTTTAATTTATTTTTGTGATCTCAAAGACCTGGATAGATGCATAATATTGTTCCAAAATTAATCCCTGAAAAGTTTCATTCCTGCATGGTCTTGGTATGATTTATTACTTGGGTGATGCAATTGTTTGTCATGTCAATGACAACATCAAATATATGGAATAATCATTGTGATGAATGTGGGGACAAAGGAATTCACACATGAGGAAAGTATTAGATGGCAATATCATGTTTGTTCATTTTTATTTATTTATTTATTAATCAAGATATATAATTAATTATATTGAAAAAAATACAAGGTGAAAAAACCACCAGAGTGATTGTATGGAACCCAAAGCTGATCCAATCACACTATTACATGTTCCAAGGTCAATCAAGCAATTATTTGAATACATTTGTAATCTTATTGACGGGTATGTGTGTAAGAGTTTTCTTTATAAAAATCATTCAAATGTATTTTCAGAAGTTTAATTCACTTCTCACTATTATTTCTCACTCGGAATTATATTCCAATATATTTGCTGGAGAAAATAACTTAACTTTCATTAATTTTTATTTATTGATCTTTTCCCATGTCATATATAATATTGAGAAAGTAAAATAAATTTGAATTTTCCTACATCTATAATTAATGGATATACATAATAAATTTGAAATTTCTTATGTTCATAATAAATGAAATTAATGGATGATATATAATGAATTTTCTTATTCATTTTCTTTTATGATATATGATGACCTTGAATTATCTATCTTTTTTAAATGCTCAATAAAATAATTATTAGCAACAAGTTGATTAT